GTAATTCCAGTACTCTGGAAGGCTAAGGCAGGAGGAATCTTGAGTTTGAGCCCAGCCTGGGAAATCTGGCAACTTAGCAAAACACTATCTCAAAATGAAAATTTAAAAAAGGGCTGGAGATACAGCTCAGAGTGAAGGGTTTAATCTTCAGTACCACAAAAATAAAAATTCAGGTATCTATGAAGTTCTTTCATTTGAAAAATAGCTCCATAATAAGAAAACTCAGTTCCACCAAAAAAACAAATGATAAATGTACTAGTTATAATAAAGCAAAAACTGTTTTTGCATCTATAAAAGCAGAATGTTATTGATTCTCAAGTTCTAAATGGAGGAGAAAACTATTACAAACTTCAATTATTGATTCCTAAGAGTTATCTGACCAAGTCTTTCAACAGTATGAACTAAAATAAGTCTTGTAATTAATTCTGGGTACAGTAGCTGTTCCCTGTAGTCCCAGCTACAGTATTTGGGAGATTGAGGGAGGAGGATCATTTGAACTCAGGAGTGCGAGTGAGGTTGGACATAGTGAAACCCTATCTTTTAAAGATAAATAAAATAAAAAATAAAAGTATTCTAAATAATTGTCTTCTAATGTCATAACTGACAGCCTTCGCTTATAGCAATTTACTAATTTACCAAATAATCACTAAATAATTTTAACAATTGTTTTTTTCTTTGTGGTGTTAGGGATGGAACCCGAAGCCTTTCACATGTTAGGCAAGCACTCTACTACTGAGCTACATGCTATACCCCCAGCCCCCGAGCTCTCTACAAAGAACAAAAGTCAAAGTCTTTCCACTATGCATTAAAAAATCAAGTTACAGAAACCATAAAGTATGACAAACTATAGCTGAATGTGGTAGCATACGCCTATAATTGCAAATACTAAGGCTGAGGCAAGAGGGTTGCAAGTTCAAGGTTGGCCTAGGCAATTTAGCAAGACCCTTTCTCAAAATAAAAATTAAAAACCCCTAGATGGGTTCAATCCCCAGCAGTACCCCTCCCCACTCCCAAAAAAACAAACTACTAAAGGTTTATAGGCAAGTTCTAACATCAGAGTTTTTTTTTAATACTGTATTCTCAAAGTCAAATATCAGCAGTAAAGTATCTCTTCTGGTTCTTTGCATTGTCAAAATTCAATGTATTCTTTAAAAAATGGGTGCGGACTGTTAAGAATTTGAACACAAGATTCAAATATCCACAAGCAGGGGAAATGCCATTAGGGAAGACATTAAAACCTATTGTTCAGAAGCTGGACCTGGTGGCACATGCCTGTAATCCCCGCACTCGGGAGGCTGAGGCAGGATTGCCCCAGCCTGGGTTACATAGTGAGTTCAAGGCCAGCCTGGACTTTATAGTAAGAGCCTGCCTCAATAAACCAAAAAAACAAAAAATATTGTTGGTCTGGGTATACAGCAGAAGTTTAGCATGGGAGAGGCCCTAGGTGTAATCCCTAGCAGCAAAAATAAATAAATAAATAAATAAATCCTGTATTTGGCTATGAATTTCAAATCCAAAATATAAAAATAAAAATTGAAGGGCCGGAGATTTAACTCAGTGGTTCCGCCACCTGCCTTGCAAGCACAAGGTCCCGAGTTCAATCCCTGGTACCAAAAAATAAAATACAACTTGATAGAACTGCCTAATATTAGTGAAAAAGATTAAGCAAAAGATATTGTGAATAAAACAGTTTACATATTTTATATGAATGCAATAAAATAGCATATTTTACTGATGTTAATAGAAAATACATATCAAATTGATAAGATAGAAGTAAGGAATATATATATACACATAATATAAAGATTGAAAAAAAAACTATAACAATTTAAACTGCTCACTGGCATTTTATATAAAATTATTTATATAATAAGACTAATGAAAAATTATAAATTATACATTATAAACAGCATAATACTCAAAATAATAAAAATTGATGTCCCTTATTCCTTGGTATTCAAAATAAACTAGTTTTTCTTAATTTGAAATAGGAAGAATATTAAGCCATATCCAAAAATTGATTAAATAAGTGCATTAATTCTAACATTCTTTTCAGAATAGAAAATTGCAATTGCTATTCTCTTTTTTGGTGGGTAAGGGGATTGTTGTTGTTTTGCAATACAAGGGATTGAACCCAAGCACTCTACCACTGACTTACATCCATATCCCTTTATTTATTTATTTTTTGTGAGACAGAGTCTCACTAGGTTTCCCAGGCTAGGTTCAAAGTGCCCCTCCTGTTTCACTCTCCTCAGTTGCTAAGATTACAAATGTGCACCACCATGTCTTGCTCAATTGTTGTTCTGTATATAAATTAAAATGTACTTTATAAATTTATTATATTTGCTCCACACAAAATTCTCAAATCTGACTCTGTATCCAAGGACCTGGGAAATTTTTAAAGAATAAGTTCTTAGACTCTATCTCCTATAGATTCCAGTTTGACCATCTGGACTGGAAGACAGGAATCTATATATATAAATATAAAGATTACATGAATCTGTATATATAAATACAAAGTTCACATTACTGTATTAAGGGACTATCTAATCTGATTCAGCTAGCTCTTGGGATTGGTCCCATATTTCAGTGCTTTCCAAACTCTACTTACTCTGCATACACATCACCTGCAGGTGCTACAAAGAGACAGATTCTGATTCAGTAGGTCTGAAATGTCACCTGGGAATCTGCAGCTCTAACAAGCTTCCAGGTGATGTACACACTGCCGGTCCAAGGACCATACTTTAAATAAGACATTATGGGCTGGGTATGGTGGTGCACACCTGCAATCCCAGCACTCAGGAGGCTGAGGCAGGAGGATTGCTGCAAGTTCAAGCGAGGCCAGCCTGGACTACATAGTGAGACTGACTTAAAAAAAAAAAAAAGACTTTATGGGATATTTTAGTGTTTCCACAAGTGAACAATAGCAGGCATTCTCCTAGGCAATTTCTGCCACTGGAATATTTTCCTCAAATTTCACTTATTGTAAACCTCCTTTAGCATAGCTAGAATACACAATCAGCAAAATATTTTATCTTTATTCTACTACGAAGTGAATGGAAATTATTTCTTTCATGTACAGAGTATCAATGAACAATGAATGCTGGATCAGAATGCAGATATGAAATTTACATAATTTAGCTAAGGCAATAGGATCATAAGTTCAAGCCCACCTGGGAAAATTTGCAACTCAGTGAGACCCTGTCTAAAAAAAAATGAGGGGGGGGTAGGGATATAGCTTGGGGCAAAGGCCCTGGGTTCCAACGGGTTCAATTCCTAGTAGTGGAAAAAAGAGAGGAAGGGAGGGAGGAAGGGATATATATAAAATAGATGGCCAGGCAGACAGACACTAAAATGTTTAAAATGCTATACTGGACCTAGGGGTATAGCTCAGTGGTACAGCACTGGCCTAACATGTGTGAGACCCTGAATTCAATCCCCAGCTCTTCAGGGGGAAGGAGGGAGAATAGGAGAGAAGAAAAGAGGAGGGGGTAAGGGGAGGGAGGAGGAAGGGAGGAAAGAGACAAAAGAATCCAGGCAGCATCTACAATAAGTTCCAATCTATATGAATGGCAACCTACAAGCAAATTCACAATAGGTAGAATCATGGTATTTTATACATACACACCCACAGTGACAGAGACCACTGGAATTTGAACAACAAAAATCTATACTAGCAATTGGTTTTATTTGATCTTAATTTTAATAATTTCATGTGGGGTCTGGGGCTTTAGCTCAGTGGTTCTGCCACCTGACTCGCAAGTGCAAGGACCTGAGTTCGATCCCCGGTACCAAAAAAACACAAAAACAAATAATTTCATGTGAACACTGACTATATGTCATGAGCTGAGGTCACAAAGGTGTTCCTTATGTTACAGTAGTTGTCTGTAAGTATTCTCATTATAATCCTTTCTACGATGTTCTATCCCTATTTGGTGTTTCATTAATTAAAAGTCCTACTTAAACATCATCAAAGAGTAAATAAGGACCAAAATAGATGACAGATACTGGAAAGCAGGAAGAAATGTTCAAATGGGAAGGGGAACAAGGAAGGGGGCAGGGGGATGGGAGGGAAGGGAAAAGGAAAAAAGAGACAAGGGAATAAATGGAAACAAAGCTTTTGTAAACAGGGAGGGGAAGAGGGGTTGAAGGGTGGGGAGGGGAATGGGGAAAAATAATTAAGATATATTATGTACAGGTAGAAATTCACTATGATGAATGTGACTAATATGTATGATAAATATATACTAATGAAAATAAAGATTAAAAAAGGAAAAAATGTCATCAAACCAAATATCTAGGTAACTTAATCATTCTCTTAATGCTTTCATTTCTCCTTTCTAAACACATGCCAGATGACTAATCTCAGTAGACTGTGGTAATTATTTCACTTCTAAGGTAAACTCAAAGGCATGATGAGCATATATCAATAGAGGTCCTCAAAGAATCAAAAACACTTCCTGTTCTGAATAACACCACAATTCTACCAAATTTTGTTTGGGGAAAAAAGAGAGAGAGAAGAAAGAAAGAAAAGTTAGATGTCACACTGACCATATCCCTAGTTACTCTCAAGTATTTAGTGCAACAATCAACTAATAAGTCATACATTTTTTAAAAAGTTTTCAAAATGAGATGTTAAGAATTTTAGCAATTTTCTAAGGTTAACAAACTAAGAGAATTTTCCAAGAGAAAGCCACCATAGATTTAGTACTTTTAAAACACAATAGAGAATTTGGGGATATAGTTCAGCACTTGTGCAAAGACCTGGGTGGATCCCCAGCACTTTGAAAAAAAAAAGCAAGTACATAAGGGAAAATATAGAAGAAAAAGAAGTTTGGCATGAACTCCTAAGGGGATCTAGAAAAGGACCACAATTTCTGGGAAGTACGGGATAAACACTTCACTTTTTAAAAAATTCACAATATATTTTAATCCTATATCACTCAGAAGGGCAGGTCAGCTAAAAGTGAGATTTACTAAAACCAAGATTATATACCCACCTGCAACTCACACCAAGCAACCTCAACCCATGTTTCAGTGTCCAGTCCTTTATACACTGTCTTAAATGCTCCTCTTCCCAGTTCTATGTCAAATTTCAGGAACCTGCCACTGGGAGAAGTCGCTACAGCTTTCATTTCTGCTTCTTCTTCCATTTCCTTTTCATTTTTCTCCTTGAAGCAATCTTTTGAGGTTTCCGAAGTTGCCTTTGAACACTGCTCGTATTTACCTTCTTGTCCACCTCTCAGCATACTTTTAGAAAGTTTATCTACTCTTGGAATATTTGTTGCAGCCTTTACTCTTTCATCTTTGGAGAAAGATTCAGCAACTTTGTCATCTTCTGTCATCTCAATGCTCTTTCGGAAAAATCTCTTCCTTTCTATTGTTTCCCCAGAAGCAGTGAAGGTGCCATTATTTTCCTTTAATCTAGCTTCTACTGTCAAAGTTGAGGCAATCTGGGGAACTCTGTTTTCAAAGGAAACTCCATCAGGTTTCTCAGAATCTTCTGTGCCAGCTGGCTCCCCTGAATCAGTGGCCATTGTAACTACGGTTGGCACTAAAATTTTTCCTGTTCCACTCCTCAGTCCAATCACATCTTAGGTATCAGAATTATCAGAACAGACTTCCTTTTATGTGGTCATATATTCCCATAGCAACCTAAAAGGGGGAAAAGGATATTTAAAATTCACCTCACAAAGGAAATCATTAAGGAAAAAACAAGTCACCTGATTTTTAATCCCTTTTTTCTTAATAAGAAGTTTATTCTTTTTCTGTCCAATCTTAGCAACCAGTAGACTCCAGGGATTGTGTCTTATCTTGTTTACCACTGTAGCCTACAGCGCACAGCAGACCATTCGATCTATAGCTCAATAATGTATCTTCACATTATGTGAATATTGGTTAGGACTGCAGTTTTATTAAGTGCCCAAACTCTAAGTTCACTTGGCTATCAGCTAATACACACAATAAGTAAAACAACTATATGATTTCTAGGTGGTTTGGGTCTAAGATTCAGAGTATCTTTTTATTGTGGTAAAAATATATATAATATCATGAGCCACACATGGCAGCACTCAGGAGGGTGAGGTAGGAGAATCATGAATTTGAAACCATCCTGGGCTACATGGCAAGATCCTGTCTCAAAAAAGCAAAAACAAAAGTGTGTGTGTGTGTGTGTGTGTATGTTTCACCATTTTAACCATTTTTAAACTATAAAACTCAGTGGCATTAATACATTCACCATTGTGCAATCATCACTTCTATCTATCCCCACAACTTGTTCATCATCCCAAACTAAAAATATGTACCCATTAAAGAAAAATTCCCCACCTAGTTTGTAGTTCCAGATGCCTGAGAGGCTAAGGCAGGAGGAACACTTAAGCCCAGGGGTTCACGACCAGGCTGGGAAACACAATGAGACTTTGTCCCTAAAATAAAGAAAAGCACTTCTAAGGGGTCAAATGTGTAGCTTAGTGGTACAGCACATGCTTAGTGCACATGAAACCCTGTGTTCAATCTCCAGCACCACAAAAAAATTCCCTATCTACACCCACCCATGGAAATCTCTATTCTATTATCACACTGAATTTGCTTATTCTTGGTAATTCATGTAAATGGAAGCGCACAATATTTATCCTTTTGTGTCTGGCTTATTTCTTTTGACATAATGTTTTAAAGATTAATCTCTGCTGTAGCATGTTATCAGGATTTCATTCCTTTTTAAAGTTTGACACTATTCCATGTATTATATACCACATTTTATTTATCTATTCATTTGTCAATGGAGTGGGTTGTTCCCACCTTTTGACTATTTTAAATAATGCTGCTCTGAACATTCAACAGCAGTCTTAAATAATGGAAATACTTATTTATGAGCTAGCCTTCATATTTTTAGGAGAAACAACTATCAAATATTAATATACTATACTAAATAGCAAAAAAAAGGCCAGGTGAAGTGGTGGATGCCTGTAATCCCAGAACTCAAGAAGCTATGGCAAGAGGATTCTAAATTCAAGGACAGCATGGGCAACTTAGTGAGACCGTGTTATGAAAATAAAGTTTAAATAAAGGGCTGGGAACTTAGCTCAGTGATAGAGTGATTGCTTAGCATGTACCAGGTCCTTGGTTTAGTCCCAAGTACTAACAAAAACAAAACACCAAGAATCTGTGCTAAAATTTAGCAAAAAGATGTTCCTTTTTTTTTTTTTGATACCGGGGATCAAACTCAGGACCTTGCACTTTCGAGGCAGGCGGCAGCACCACTGAGCTAAATCCCCGGCCCAAAAAGATGTTCGTTTTAACAGTTAAAATTTGGAAAAAACTGTAGCTAAACATTAAGTCTAACATGGGTTTAAGTAAATATCTCAAGGTATTATTCTGCATTAAAATAACTCAAAAGGCCTCTCTCCCTGTGGAGGGCCTGCATTTCATTTCTTTGTGTATTTTTCAAATGCTGCCTAATAAATCTCTCTATGCATTTTAGATATCTTGAAAATTCTTTTTCTGTGATGAAGGTTAGTGAACTTAAAACAAGCCCCATGGGTCAAGCCACTTAGCTTGGGGGACCTTCTTGGACCCTGTCCGGAAACATTTCTTTTGGCAAGTCAATGGCAGGAGATAAATGAGGCATTAAGACTATGACTCTGGAATATAATTTCTAAAAGACAAGCTCAATAGTATGTTAAGATGGCAGGCCATCAACTATAAAGCAGATAGAACAGGACACTGATTTCTAAAACTAATGCTGACCATAATTAATGAAAGGGGTAACTGTTCTCTGGTCACACCTTATATTTCAAAGTGCCCTGATATTCAGGTAGGATTATAATAATTAGGATTAAGAATTATTGCTCCTATTTCAAGACTGACCTTCCGAGTGTTCAACAAGTGAGGCTGGGAGACCAAAGCTAAAGAAGATAAAAGAGCTAAGCCAATATTTTGGCCCTTGTCCTCCAAGGTTAGCCAGGACCCGGGCATGACAGGACGCATCTAAAAAAGCCCTGCGACTCTGGTGAGTCACCTGATTTCCTGAGCAGGCTACTGTTTAGACCCAAGATGACAGGAGACAACCAATGTATATTCTACAAAAGGAGGGTCACTAAAGAGGGAAATGTCATAAAAAATGTCACAAAAGGAGGATCACTAAAGAGGGAAGCCATATGGTTAGGCAAGACTGAACCATCAGATGACACAAGGGGTGGAGGGAAAAACTACAGGAGCTAAGAGGCTCCTCAGATGGCCCCAAAAGTAACTCCTGAGGAGCCTTATCTTGATAAATATACATACATAAATTCTGATTAACACAGGACTTACTTTCGCTTGGTCTTAAACACCCAGCAGGAAAATGTAATAAAAAAGGGAGTAATTAATAGTAATATTTTAAAAAGAAAGCTAGGCTAAATACAAAAAGGGGCCCCAAAGCTGGGTGCGGTGGTACATGCCTGTAATCTCAGCAATCAGGTGGGTAAGGCAGGAGGATCACCCCAAGTTTGAGGTCAGCCTGGGCTACATAGTGAGTTCAAGGCAGAAACCCTATCTCAAAAGAACAAAGAGGGGGGCCTCCAAAACATTACACTAGTCTCTACTGACAATTTGCAGCTGTATCTGTACTATCTTAACCCACAGCCATAATAAGTCATGATTCCTAGTCCCACTAAGTCTTCCAAAAATGTGTCCTTCAGTCTCTCTTAGTGTATTTTCATTATGTTATATTGATGTACATTAAAGTATCCCTCATATAAAAATCTGACTTATTATATAGGTCTGCTTATAAGATAAAAATGTCAATATAAATATTCTAACTACAAAACATTATTACTTTTGTGGTGTAAACTAACTTTCTCTTACCTACTTTAGGCCTTTATGTTTCTGTTCTCTACAGCCAGTCACTAGAAAAGACCGTTGGATATTTAAAGTAGAAGCCAAATCCCAGGTTCTATACTCTACCATAAAGTTCTAATGGCTAAATATTCATGTAGAAACCTAAATATTTTTATTTTTATTCCTTGGCTATCATTATAAATAAAATAAAAATTAGATTTCTCACTAACAAAATAGAGAGGAGTCTATAGTATTCTTACACTTCATCTGCTATACTTCAGTAAACATCTCGAGACAAATAGAGGGGAAGGAGGGGGAAATGAAAAGAAGTAAAATGTGTTATGTACATGCACCAACTCCACACAATGAATGTGATCATTATGTACTGCAAACATGTACTAATAAAAAAATTGGGGGCCAGGGATTTAGCTCAGTGGCACTTCACCTGCCTTGCAAGCACAAGGTCCTGAGTTCGATCCCTGGTACCAAGGGGCGGGGGGAACCCAGAAGGCTAATATAAAAGCTAATTCATTGCTCTTCTACTTTTAATTTTTGGGCCTTGCTTGTTTAACATACCTGCAACATTTATATCCTCCATGTCATGATACTCTACATAGAAGACTCCAAAAACTCCACCAAAAGACGTTTAGATTTGATAACCAAATTCAGGGGCATAGCTGGATACAAAGCCAACACTCAAAAGTCAATAGCCTTCCTGTACACAAATAACAGACTCATGTAGAGAGAAATAAGAGAAACAATCCCTTTCACAATCACATCCCAAAAAATGAAATACCTAGGAATCAATCTAATGAAGGATGTAAAAGACTTCTACATTGAAAACTACAGTACTCTGAAGAAGATTGAAGAGGATATCAGAAAATGGAAAGATATTCCTTGTTCTTGGAAAGGAAGAACCAATATAGTGAAAATGGCCACACTTCCAAAATTGTTATACAGATTCAATGCCATACCAATCAAAATCCCAACAGAGTATCTCACAGAATCAGGAAAAAAAAATCTTAAAATTCATTTGGAAAAAGCAAAGGCAATTCTTGGCAACAAAGGCAAAGCAGGAGGTATCACAATCCCTGACTTTAAATTATATTACAAAGCCACAGTGATAAAAACAGCATGGTACTGGCAAAAGAACAGACCTGAGGATCAATGTAGCAGACTAGAGGATGCAAAAACAACTCCAGACACACTCAACCACCTTATTTTTGACAAAGGAGCCAAACACCTTCACTGGAAGAAAGACAGCCTCTTTAATAAATGGTGCTGGAAAACCTGGCTTTCCACATGCCAAAGATTGAAACTAAACCCATATCTTTCACCATGCACTAAACTAAAACTGAAATGGATCAAAGATCTAAATATTAAAACAGAAACAATCTGCTGGAAGAGAGAATAGGTAGAACACTTGAGGACATAGGAATAGGCCAAGACTTCATGAACAAAACCCAGACCGCATGGGCAATACTACAAAGAATCAACAAGTGGAACCTCATCCTATTAAAAAGCTTTTGCACAGCAAGAGAAACCACCAATAGAGTGAAGACACAACCCACAGGGTGGGAAAAAATTGTTACCAGCTATTCAGATAAAGGACTATCATCTAGAATATATAAAGAACTAAAAAAAAAATCAGACCCCCAAATTTAAAGACCCAATCCAAAAAATGGGCACCTGAATGGACACTTCTCAGGTGAAGAATTAGAAACAGCAAATAAATATATGAAAAAATGTTCAATAACACTGGTCATTTGTGAAATGCAAATTAAAACAGTGAGATTCCATCTCACTCCAGAAAGCATGGCTGCTATCAAGAAATCAAC